GCGCCCTCGGAGCCGCCCCGGAACGCCCCCCCCCCCTGCCCCAGCACCCGCGGTTCTGCGGAGGCCGCCGCCTTCCCCTCCACGTCTCCATCTGCCGGACCCGGGCCGAGCCGGACATCGAGCGATGGCGGAAAACCTAAAGAAACTGATCACCAGCGAATCTTTCAGATCCTTGCAGGAGAGGCTAGATCCCTGGCTCAGGGAGTACAACGTGAGTCGGTGGGGCCCCGGGCTCGCCCTCCCGAGCTCCTGCACGCCCCGGCGGCTCCTCGGGGATTTGCAGATGTCCCCAGGGGACCTCAGCCCCCAACCTGGCTCGGGGGGAAGGGCGCGTGCCCTGGGGCCGGTTCTCTGCGGAGCGCGGGGCTTGCCGGCTGGAGAGCGTCCTCGCCCCGCGGTAACTAAGGACGCTGGCGGCCCTAGCAACTGGAACCTTGGCGACTGGTCTGGTGCTGCAGGCCTTGGTCGCCCCCAGCCCCCTCGCCAGCGCAATCCACACCGCCCCCTGCCCCTGCTCCTGCCTTTCCGCAACCCCCGAGGTCCCCTGGGCGTGTATCGGAATGGATTTTTATAACTTTGCTCGGGACTTCTTGCCCGGACGTCAGTGGAACCGTCCCGTGTTAAGGTTGTGGTGTCTTTTGTGAGCACGGCTTTAGTTAACGGCGGTTTCAGCGCCAAGGCAGCCCTGCGGAGGCCTCTGCCCGGCGTTTGTCAGAAGCCTAACCGCGGCACCAAATCCAGAGACACCCCTCACTTCTTAAATCTTCACCCCCTGCCCACAAATAGGAAGTAGAACGCCAAGCGAGCTCGCATTTGCTTTAGGTTTGACCTGTCCCTCTCAACTCAACGCGACAGGGACAGCGAGGAGTCAGAAAGGGACATGGACTGCGCTGAGCCCCTGCCCTCTGCCCTGGCGCCCTAGGCTGGCTCTCCGTGGAGCTAACTGGATGTCACCTTTCTGGGTCCAGTACCTCTGCTGCTACCTCTATATGGAGAGCCTGGGCGAGATGGTAGCAGGAGTTCCCTTTCGGATTGCAGTTTGGGGGTCTAGATGAGGGTGGGTCTCACTCCTTGGGGCTCCCATGCAAGCACTACCTGGACTCCCGACGGAGGGGGCGGAGGGGGCGCTCAAGGCGGCTGAGGCTTCCTCAGTCTCCCTTTCTGGTATTAGTGCTCACTCTCTTTGCTCCCCTTAAAAGGGCCAGCACTGACTGTTCCCTCTCCACCGAGGATTCAGGAAAATCAGAAATTATTTCTTTATCAGGAAAGACTTGGCTTCTCCCCACCACTTTTGTTTATTTTTAGTTTTTGCTTTAGAGTCCCTGGGCTTGACAGGGAGAGACAGAAGGGGGTTGTGTGGAAAGTGAGAAATCGCCCCTCAGGGGATGCAATCCTTTCTCCAGTTTCTTCTTGGGATTTTGGGCTCTCACACATTTCAAGCCATGGGGTCCTGCTGGCAGCCATGTGGTATACAGCACCTTAACCCCCACCAATCTTCTGGCCTCTCTCCACCATTCCTTTGAAAGGTTTTTGCTATAGGGCACGTGTCCTTGCCAGAGAGACAGAGAGACAGAGAAATCACCCCCCTGGGAGGATAGCCATGCTGCAATCCCTTCTCCTCCATTCTCCTCTTGGCATTTGGGGCACACATGCACATGTACCCAGAGTGAGTTTCAAGCCCCAGGATCCAGGACTCCAACCCAGGCGACCATGTGGGAGTACACCACCTTAATACTATGCCACCTGCTGGCTCCACTTTTAAAAGTACTTATTTGGGGACCAGCAGATGGTATAATGGTTATGTTGCTGGACTCCCGCGTAGTTGACTGCGGTTCAAGTTCCAGACCTGGCAGTTTAAACTCATGCTGGGCGCATGTGCGTGCGTGCCCAAAATCCAGAGGAGAGAATGGAGGAGAATGGAGGAGAAGGGATTGCAGTGTGGCCATTCCCCTGTGGAGTGATTTCTTGCTTTCTGTCTCTCTGTCTCTCCAGCAAGTGCATGACCCTATAGCAAAAATCTCTCTTTTAAAAAAAGTACTCATGAGATCAGTAGTTAGCGTAATGGCTATGTCGCTGGACTCCCACGTAGTCGACCGCGGTTCGCGTCCCGGACCCAGTGACTTAAAACTCATGGCGGGCGCATGTGCGTGCATGCCCAAGATCCCGAGAGGAGAATAGAGGAGAAGGGATTGCGGCGTGACCATCCCCCCTGGGGGGTGATTTCTTGCTTTCTGTCTCTATGTCTCTGTCTGTCTGGCGAGCACACGTGCCCTATAGCGAAAAAACCTCTTCAAAAAAAAAATGTACTTATTTGTTATCTAGTCTCAGGAAGTTAAGAATAACAAATCCTAACTCATGCGTTCCCCCCTTTTTATCGCCTGGGTCTGAGCTGACATGTGAATTTTGAAAGTTATGTTGTCACAATGTTCAGCATAAGTGACACTAGCACTTGGCTGGGATGAACGAAGTGTCCATTTTAGAAACTCCCTGTGAACACCGGGCAATGGCTTTCACTGTTACGTGTTCATGTCTCTGTACCACCCCATCCCTCAGTACTCATCAAAACTGTTTCTGGGGGCTAGCAAGTGGCATAGTGGTTATCACGCTGGACTCCCACGTGGCCAACCATGGTTTGGGTCGTGGACCTGGCTGCTTGAAACTGGGCACATGTGCGTGGATGCCCAAAATCCCAGGAGGAGAATGGAGAAGGGATTGCAGTGTGGCCATTCCCTCCCGGGGATGAGTCCTCACTGTCTCTGGCGAGTATGTGCACCCTGCAGCAGGGGAAAAAAAAAGAAAAAGAAAAACCTAAGAAAAAAGAGTTTGTGTCTTTTCTCTTCACCACTGTACAGCAGAGACCAGAGCCTTTCCAAACCTGTGCCATTTCCTGGGCTCCGTCATTTCTCTCGAGCCTCTGGCATCTCTGTCATGTTCCAGCGTGGACACGTGTGTTCTGCGCCCTCCACTCCTGGCTCCCTTCTTTCCGCAGTGTCTCGTGTCTGTGTGAGATCCGTGCTAGGTCAGGCCTGTCCTGGCCGAGCTCCCACTTCTCCCACTGGCTGAGGGCCATTCCCCACAGTGAGTGCTGTGGTCACCTTCAAGTCAAGTCAGCCTGAAACCGAATTCCGCCTCTCCCGCACCCCGACCCCAGACCTCTGGAACTCGTCTTCATCACGGCCTGCTTCACACCTTTTCACAGCATAACCTGCTGGTTCCAACGGCAAAATTCACACAGAAGCTAAATGCTTTCTGCCACCCTGACTGCTGCCACCCGTGCCCACCTTCCATCATCCTTCCCCTGGATTTTTTTTTTTTTTTGGAGAGGTTTGTTTGTTTGTTTGTTTACCCCCCCAGGGGGGATGGTCATGCCGCAGTCCCTTCTCCTCCATTCTCCTCTCGGGATCTTGGGCATGCATGCACACGCACCCAGAGTGAGTTTTAAGCCACCGGGTGTGGGACGCGAACCGTGGTTGACTACATGAGAGTCCAGCGACATAGCCATTATGCTAACTGCTGGTCCCTGGAGAGGTTTTTGCTATAGGGCACGTGTGCTCGCCAGAAAGAGAGAGGCAGAGAGGCAGAAAGTGAGAAATCACCCCGCAGGGGGGATGGCCACGCCACAATCCCTTCTCCTCCATTCTCCTCTTATGATCTTGGGCACATATGCACATGTGCCCAGCATGAGTTTAAGCCACCAGGTCCAGGACTCGAACTGTGGTCAACTACATGGGAGTCCAGCGACATAGCCAACTACATGGGAGTCCAGTGACATAGCCATTACGCCAACTGCTGGTTCCCCTTAGTGGTAACCCAAGGTGATTCCTGTAAATGTCAAGTCAGAGCAAATCACTCACCTGGCATGACCTTCCAACTTCCTGTTTCACTCAGAATGAAGGCCACAGTGCCAATGGTGGCCTTTGCAGTCCTACATGGTTGTCCCCCTTTAGCCTTCCTGCCCTCATCTGTTCCTGTCTCCTCACTCAGTCCAGCAACACTGGACTTCCTTCTTTCTTTCTTTCTTTCTTTCTTTCTTTCTTTCTTTCTTTCTTTCTTTCTTTCTTTTTTTTTTTTGTAAGAGACATTTTTTGCTATAGGGTCATGCACTCGCCAGAGAAGCAGAGACAGAAAGTGAGAAATCACGCTCCCGGTTGGACGAGGGTGGCTATGCTGTAGCCCCCTCTCCTCCATTCTCCTCTCAGGATTTTCGGTGCACATGCCCACATGCCTGGTGTGAGTTTTGAGCCACTGGATTCGGGACTTGAACTGCAGTTGGCCATATGGGGAGCCTAGTACCTTAACGACTATGTTACCTGCTGGCCCCTGGCTCTTTCCAGAGCAGCACGGTCCAACAGAACTTTCTAGGATGATGGGGATTTCTATATCTGCTCTGTCCAATATAGGGCAGGTGCACCCTGAGGAACGGAATCGTTACCTTCACTCAAGTACAGTTTAGAGTCGAATGGTCACCCGTGGCCAGTACGGGTCCTCTGGGACCCCACTGCTCTGGAGCATGACACCCATGCTCCTGCGCAGGGCATCTGGCAGAGGGTATTCTGTCTGGAAGGCTTTTCGCCTGTCCGTACCTGAGGGCAGTGTCGACAGCCTTGCCTCTTCATTTCTTCAAGTCTTTGCTTAAATGTTACCTTTTCAGAGAGGCTCACGTGGTCATCCATTTAAATCACCGTCTCCTACCCTCACTCCTAGTTTCCCACTTCTGGTTTTTTTTTTTTTTTTAAATGTACTTATTTCTTTCTTGAGAGAGAGAGGCCCCTTTAACAGTCTCACCCACTGTGACCCTCAGCCTCCCAGCCAGCCAAGATGACAGGTGCACCCTGCATCTTCACATAGACCCAGGAGCCACACCCGGGTCTCCCACGTGGGCCCGATATCACCCAGTGGTCACGGCACCCCCACAGCTGGGTCCCAGCTGGATTTCTTCCTTAATTTGGACAATGTTCAAAAGTTAATAGAAAAATATATTATGAAAAAAAAAATGCATGGATTTTTAAATATTTTTGCACCCAAATAAACTTGTACTTTAATTTCACTTTCCGTGAACTATTTGAAGTCTCCGTGTACCTGGGCCTCGTCCTCACTTATTTCGTGTATTGTCAGTTCCCCTGCACCCCCTCTAGAAGGTAAGCTGCAGAGGGCAGTTTCCGCTTCATTCCGCTCCTTGTATCCGCGGTGCTCAGAATGCCGCTTGGCCCT